TTAACTATGGAATCTTATCTCAACTTACCCTATGTAACATATGCCGCGTCGAACGATCTTATATATAGTTAGATATTTAGATTAGAGAAGAATATCAGTTCAATGACTGAATTTATTAAACGAAATTATTCTTCAGGCGTATGCTGCTTTGCATTCATCTCTTAATCATATCTTTTCGATTTCGTTAAGTCCGCCTCAAAAATTCCGCTTTTATAAGGCGGATTTCAATTCGGCGAATTAAATAAGTAGCGACGAAGTTCTCGAACTATTTCACCGCGAACGAATAAATAGCGAAGCGCTGAGATAGAACGGTCAGTCTCCTTTATTAACATAAAATACTTATTTACATTTTCAAACCAAATGCTGTGCAACAAATGAGTCCATATTATAATTGTGTAAGATGAGCAGCGAGCCGCGCCTCTCGCGCAACAAATATTATCGCGATATACTGCAGCCAGAAGAATAAAGTATTATATCTTTTGATAGCGTTTTTTCTTGGCTGCACTACCGCCCTGCACTGCCCTGCACTACCCAATAGCGTTGCACTAGTAGGCGATAGTGCAGCCAAAAAAAAACGCTATTAAAGAATCGTTGGTTTCTCCGTCGCGAAATCAAGGAAAGATGATTCCGGCCACTCACTAATCGAATCTTTACTGGCATTCGCTGTCGCTATCTCTAGCGGATCTGCAAGATCGATGTATCCATAGCGCAAATATCGCAGAACTAAATCGAGCTCTAAGACTACGGGATTCAAATCGCGATTATCTTCTTCTTGAGAAAAACAAATATTTTGTATCAATTGAGGACATTGTGAAATTTGCATGCTTTTAGAATGCTAACTTAAATAGAATTTTGAAGGAATAGCAAGATATTTTTATTTTTATAATGAATATTAATACACGATTTCTTATCTATTTATCTCATGATACTATAAAGAGCTGTTTCAATTAAAATTTTTTTCGAGAGCACTGTTTTACGCTGGAAATAAATAAATATCAAAAACTATTTTACTGATTCATCGTTTGCAAAACATCAGCCAGATCAGAGGCTATTTTCAGAGAGCTCTTCGCCTGTGCTGCTCGAGGCGTCTCTGTTCCAATCATCCTCTGATGTCTTGACTCGATGTTGAGATGGAGTAAGATCGAAGATGGGGTCCACTTTGGCATCGTTCGACGCGTAAACGTAATCGGCCGCGCGACTATAACCGGTGCGGTCTGTCTCTTTTAACCGCCGTCTTATCTGTGCTTTTCTAAATTATAGCGTATCAAGTAATGGCTCTAAGTAAGAGCTATTACGGACTCGTAAAAATTCGCTAACTCAACGCCAGCACGTTCTTTTCGCAGTAAATATCTTGTATCATGCAGTTTCCTGCCGTTCCTCTAGTTAGGAAAATGGTTCGTATCATATTTCCAGCCAGTTCGAACGGCGCGATTCGTATACGCGTGCGTGGAAGTATATAATACATGCTGCGGAAATAATCATTGCTTATCGTTTCAAAGCTATAGTAACATTAACGACGTGCATTTACAACGACACGTAAACAATAACAATTAAATATTTCGCTCTCAACGTTGAAAATAAACTCGCGAGCTTAATAGTATGCATCGACGTAATTAGCACGTAATCACAGTTACGCCCGGCGAGATAAATTGAAACGCGCGCTATTTTCGTTTCGAACGAAATTACGCGGCGAAAATCGTCTCGTGATTTATCAACAGCGGCCCTCCCCCCAACGTCCAATTTCTCCCGAGCGAGGTATCTCGCCCGTTCTCTATGTTCCTACTGGCGTCTTAATTGCACCCATTCTAGAAATGCCGTTGAACGGAAGAACACGAAGAAAAGGAATGGCGGAAACGTGCGAAAGAACTTGCAGCTGCACGATTCCTGAAAAGAGTATGGCATGCGGTATACGAAATATTACCAGCGCCCGGCCTTTTCAGCGCCGATTGTACGTCAAAAATTTTTCACTCGATAATTGGAAAAAACGCGCTCCATTAGCTCGCCGTGATACGCATCGGCGAAAACTGTTTATTCTTTTATTCGCGGATGATTTATCGCGGCTCGCGCGGTGTTGTAACTCGAAAATTTTCGATTTTAATTGAAATGGACAAAATGACTTTTGTTATATTCGAGGGAAAAACGAATCTTTTCTCCCTGTATGCCTTTCTCTCCTGTACATCTCCCACGTACTTTCCAGTAATTCACAAAAGACATTTTCCAGTTACGCCAAAATGGCCATCGGAGAATATCCGTTGTCTAATACATTTTTATATTAAAAATCAACGTCAATTGTTACACAATGTTCAGACTATGAGCCATTTATGTATTTTATGTTTCCGGTGTTTTCATTCCGAATGATTTTCCTCGTGTAACCAACGCATCCCCAGGCGCGTTGTTTTAATTCGCGACGTTTCCCACACTGAGAAAAAAAAATCGTTGATTCAAAGAAATATTATTTGATTTAACTAAATGCAGCAGTCACGGGCTGTCAAGCAAACATTTGTTAATTCAAAAAATATTATATTGAAATAAATTCAGAATTTCTTAATATTACTCACGTATATTTGATTTAAATATATTAATATTTGCATTAAACAAATCACTACAACTAAACGAGTTTAGTCAAATTAACGACATTTTTTTCTCAGTGCAGTATAACGAGAATCCACTAACGGGAAAGCGCGCGCGGAACCTAGCTTTACGTTATTTTTCCTCTTTCTTTTCTTTTTTTTTCGAACGCGCCCGCCGCACCCTCGACGTTCGCGGTGAGCGAGAAAGAAAAATACGCCATAACCGCGGTAATTCGTATCGGGGCGTGCAAAACGTTCGTCGGCCTATCATCTCGCGGAATTTCGAAGAAAATGGCGAGGAGCAATTCCCTCCCTTTTTTTCGCCCCTGTGAGCACGAGCACGAGGACAAAGGAGAGCGCGCACCGCGATTGTAAGCGTCTGCGGCACCTCGCACGCCCGAGGCCGGCCTGTATTAAATTAGATGGTGACGTGCGCGCGGCCGCGTCGAGGAGGATCCCGGGCGCGCGCGCGATGCTGCGCGGGGGCACGGCGGAGCTCATCAAGACTCGGAGGCCCATTCAGCCGGTCATTGTCTGCGGTAATGGAATGTATTAATATCGGAGAGCCCGCGGGGCCGTCGACCAACGCTCGGCGTATACTCCGGTGTGCCTGGTGGTGCCGCCGCGCGCGCACCCGTTCGGTTCTACAACCCGCGGTCTGCCGGGCTGGGGATACGTCCCGTGGGATGGAATACTCGTATAAACCGCCGCTGCACTGCAAACCGCCAGCGAATACCGGGCCCCACGCATTAATATCTAAACGCGAGAGGGCGAGAGCGACGGGGCAGTCAACGAGAAGCAAAGAGAGAGCGAGCGAGAGAGAGAGAAATGGAGAGAAAGGTAGAGCGAGGTCGAGAGAGGGTGAGGAGGTAGTTGGTGCGCGTATTCTGCCAGTTGCATCTCGTATTCATGCGTTGCAGCAGCGGCCAGCAGAGGCGTTAGACGGCCAACCCTTTTACCACTGGTCCAGGTGTAATATACTTTTTAGTTCAGGTATGATACGTCAAAGGTCCTTTTGTGATAATTACATTAGAGAATGGGAGCCTCAGCCTCCTGCGAGGCATGTCCGTTGAAGGCGCTCTGTTTTTGCGCCGTAGTCATTGCGCAAATGTTTGCCGGGGTAGGGAAAGGGTATACGAATATGACGGAACAGCGGGCAAAATGTAGATGGTAATGCAGGTGGAAATTAATTTGGAATGGAATTAATTCCACCGTCGTGCTTCATCGTTTATTAACTATAAGGAAAAAGTAATGTTAAATTCGTTGTTACTCGTGATTAAACTCATACTCATGCTGCAACATTAACTTGCGACGGGATATGCATACGGAGGTTTTTAAGTTTTCGACGCGGCCGGCAACCGGCAACGTTGTCGTTGTCGTAAATAATTACGCGCGCAAACAGCACGGCCAAGGGACGTATCGAATAATGACGTAGAAATTATTAACGCGGAACAGAACGCACGCGCGCAGTATGTAAATCCCCGATCGGTCGTAAATTCATGTTGAATAATTTTCGTCAGCCACAATTAAAAATAAATTCGTTTTTAAACCGAGGAATAAACCGGCGCTCAGGGAGAACGATCAATTTAACAGCTCTATAAATATTCATTTCGCGCGCGAGAGAGCAAGTGCCAAACGAGAAACGATAGCTATCGGAAAGGGGTACGCGGATTACTTAATTATATGTTGTTGCAGCCGTGAATTTATTCTCGCGGGGATAGACGTTAATTTATAATTAGACTTCATAAGCTTTCTCGCGCGCGCGTCCAGCCGGTGCGCTCTAAATTTTTTTCGTTTCACGCGCGACGCGCAACGATAAGAGACGTCGACTAATCTCCGTTAGCTGGTCTTTGCGCGTAAACGGGGTTATAAAGCTACACCCGTTAGATTAGAAATAATTACGTTCGCGGCGGCGTTGCTCTCTTTGTTCGCGCGTAATAACGTCTTTCATAGGACATACAAACCTGATATTCCAGATTTTACGTATTAACGAGCAGCCGGGGGTTCCTGGGGATTTTGGTATTCAAGCGCGCGCACGCGCGCGCAAAGCGGAGGCGTCACAATTAACACGAGGCGATATATTTACCTCGTTGACATAGAGCTTCTATTTTTCTTTTAGAAAGTCCCTAAAAGTAGAGCGCGGCGCTTTCAAACTCGTTACTTTGTGGTAATAAAAGCGCGACGCGACCGAAAGTGACGCTCTATATCGCCTTTATGAATATTCCACTTGAAGCCCGGTTTTACGCAGCGGAAGACTCTTGGCAAAAGACGCGGACGGGATCAATTTTTGCGCGCGTTTACGCCAGCGTCCCGCGATATCGGCGGCCGCGGCGGTCGCGGGTGCGTCGAACGTAACAGAAGGCGCCGGTAGATACCGAGTGATCGATGGCGGTCCGGCAGACACCATCCGAATGAAAAACTGTCGCTTACCGTGCCAGGTGGGGTCCGACGTTTCCGGTGTCGAAGCTGGAACTGGCGTTGATATCCGTGTCCGGGATCGCCCCGGACTCCATGCCGAGCGGCGCGATGCATTGGGCTGCAACAAACGAACGTGACGTCGCCGAGGTTAAAGCGAGCTTTGGATTTATATGCGCCTCTCTCCTATAGGCGCATCACGGGCCGGATCATAAACGGCTAAATAACCAGCTAACCGAGATGGATCCGCGCGATAGCCGGTTTATACGGCTGCCTGTCGTGCGGTGGAAGTTACGGTTCGAGGGCGGGCGCGCGGACGAGCGTACCTGCGAGCAAAGGGGTAAAAAAAGGGGGGCCCGCCTTCCCGTATCTCCTGGACCGATCTAATTGTTTCATAGGTGAACACAGCTGCCTCGCGAGGACCGCTGCCGTCTGCACCATCGACGCCGGGAACGAAGGGGTATCTTTCGCGTGCGCGGAATATTTACTGCGCTGCATGCACTGTTGTGTATAACGTCGATCGCGTATATCGCATCCTTGGGGACGGCGACGAAAAATGACGCTGGCAGTGGGAGGGAGCTTGAGAAACGGAGCGCAAATCGCGACAACGCGTCACGCGTGCAATTTTTACCCCCGCGGCCGTAATAAATTCGTGGCGTTTTCAGGCGTGGCCAACTTGGACTTTACGAGCCCTCGTCGTCGTGACTGCACGCTAATGAGGATCATAAAACGCTTTGTCTTCCGGAGATTTAATATCTGAGAAGAGAATATCTTCTTCCGTGCGCGGATCGGTCAGCCCCCGCGTGTCCGTCCGCACGAGCACCAATGACAGGGTTAAGGGCCGTCGAAAAAACGACACCGTCTACTTTGCATACATTACTCCAGCCTCGCTGGCGCACGCATTTTCGAGAGACGTTCCCGCGATCGGTCCGGTCGCGCAATAAAGTCCGAACAAAGTGTATGACGCATGCACGCATTCGTGCCGTTCGCGTCACGGCGCGTTGTCATTAAGGGACGACAGAAAGGACCCGCGACATTTCGCGTCTCTCGTTTTTAAAGCGCTATTAACCGCCCACGCCGTTATCGGCCGTTTGTCTCGACAGAAACGCGAGACAGAGAGCCGCGATTATCCAGCCGCGAGCGTATCGGTCGGTTCACTCCAACGGGTCGGATGCTCCGTCGCGTATTACAGAGTCAAAGCTGGTAAACTCACAGACGCGTGTACGATACACACCCGGGTCCTTGCAATTCGACAAAGGAACGCATATCGTAGTGTAACTAATCCGGATATACGACAACTCGAATACGTCTGCTTCGCTTGCGACGCGGCGCGGCGCGGCGGAGCCTCGTGTGTGCATGATGCAGCACCGCGCCGCATCGATTACGGTTTACGGGTTCAAGTAACGATACCCATTACGCGATACGGAAATTGCTAAAATTTGAAGTAGGTAGCCCGGAGCCGGGTGAGTCGGACGAGGTAGCAGGTACACGTAGCCGGCAACGATAATGCCTAATGCCCGGATATCGAGTGCAGAGGCAGCGCGCGCGAGCCGCTGGGCGCCGCTGGGTCGCCGGGGCGAGGGGGAGGAGAACCGTAGTAGCTTCGTACCGGGGAGTGTAACGGAAGGAATCCGCGCTAAGCCAACGAACAGAACAGGTATGTAGGTGGCCATTAATACCGGCGAAAGTTTGCAGTGTTCTTCCGACAATACCACCCCTCTCCGCCCACCCCCCGCCTCGTAATTCCGCGCCCGGCCGGCGTCGGCCGTTGTGAAATGTGTATTTTGGTCTTACGTTTTAATCCAACGTATTTTATTGCCGAAATAGAATCTCGGTAAAGCGTGGATTCCGCCGACGCGGTTTACAAATACATATAATACTCGCAATTTGCGCGGACGCGTATATCTCGATGATGTACAATCGGTATTTTCCTTGAGTTTGTAGCTAAAATAACTTTGGCGGGCTTTGTCATTTGCAACTCGCGCGGGGAGAGATGGTCGGAAACGACATCGAAGGAATATCTATCGGGGGGGGGGGGGGGCACGATGCGTCGCTAATGCGCGCCGCGATTTCGATCGTAATCGGCGGCGAATGGAAAATTGTGCGCCTACAAACGCGGCGGCGCGGCGTCGCGTTGGGAACTGGCGAAATGGCCGATCGGATTAATCGCCGTTATTACTAACGGAGCTCCTCTCGTCATATCGCGATTCCGGCGCTCTAATATATGTATGTCCGACTTCTTCGGACCGCGCGCCGCGCCGTCCGATTAGAATCAGCAGTAAGAGAGTCGAGTCGACAAAGGGAGGAAATCGGCGATCGGGCGCTCGTGCGGACTGGTCGTCGTTATTAATGAAGGCACTCCCGATATGTCCGCCGCTAATATATGTCCTCGGATTCCGCGGAGTTGCGCCCGGCATCGATAGCGGGAAAGTCGCGTCTCGCGGCTCCCAGAACAAGTACGCGTGGAGCATGTTCGAGATCGTCGCGACCGCGGGCCAATGCGACCGGGCCAACAACTCGGTATTATTATTAATGAAGGTCAAGCCCGATACATCGCGATCCCGTCACTAATGTATGTCCACGAATTCAGGCTGGGGCAGGCGATTCGAATCAATGGTAGGAAGTAGGAAAGTCGTGCCAACAAAGGGAGGGAATACTGATCGAGATCTTCGGCTGGCCAACATGGCGAGCGAGAATCGCTATTATTATTAATGAAGGTCCAGCCGATATATATCGCCGCGTATCGCGCACCCTCGCCGGAATTCTCACGGCCGCCCCGTCCTCGATAAAGTTCGACCGGAGCAGAATCCGTTTCCTTTGTCGGCGGGTTCGGCCTAACGAGTCCTACCGTAAGATATCACGCTAGTAAATCGATCGTGAATAAGGGTGAATAAACGCGACACCTCTAGTGACTTTTTCGAGACGCGGAGACGCCGACCTTTCTCCGTTAATCCTCGAGACGCCTGACGGCGCGCAAGACGCCTCGCATGATTCCACATCCCTTGGAGGATGTCCGGTAAAAGTCGCTCGTCGTTAACGGGAGGACTCTACTCGAGAAAAACACCATCGATTACTTTCCGGCTATTGACGCTAAGATAGATTACGAGGAAAGGGAGAAAATCGCCGAGGATGTTGTTTGGAAGGGCTCCGTGAGAGGTGCAATTATTAAGCTTTCCATTATCGCGACTACGATGCAATTTTTCTCTCCTATGTCCGGAAATCTATTTCTATTAAGCTGTTTCTCGCGAACAGGGCTTCGAAAGAGAGCGATTACTTATTATTAAATACGATAAGATGGGGTATTCCGTGCTATCTTGAGAGCAAGATTTTATTTATGTGCAGGGATTTTCTTTAATCTCTTTGATTTTTTTATAAGGCTATTCTTTTTCATCACAGCATATATATTCCAACTAATTATAGATTTATTATTAATTACAATTCTAACAACATTGATTAAAGCATGGATTAATTTTTATTTCGATTCGTAATTTTTTTGGAAGATAATGTATCAGTAGTTAAAATTCAAATAAAATAATGATATTAGTCTTTTATTACTTATCAAAATGTTTGCGATAGTTAAGTACATTATCAATAATTTTTTTGGCGGTTGATAATGTTCAGGTTTAGATGTTCAAGTCTCGCCCACTCGAAGACCCACGGGACATCTCTAAATATAGGCGCGCGCGCGCGCGACTCAAATGATAAGACGCAATGTCCTCAGATAGGTACGCAGGATACCTAATGACCACGGTCAAAGCCGATCCCGGATCGAAAGTTCGTCGACTGCGAGCTAAGTTCTTGGGGTCGCGCAATCTCCGCGTCGTTAATAACTTATAAACGAAACAACCTGTGCGCGAGTCTCCGAGCCAAGGAGCTATAGTCGAGCGAAGTTTCCCCGACGAGACGCGACGGGTACTATAAGGCCTGGCGGATTAGAGCTTAGGAACTACTTACAGAGGTCCACGCCGTGGTAGGCGGGGGCGAGCGCGAGCAAAACGACGAAAAGGTGGACAGCAGGTGGTGCCCTTCTGGCGAGGAAACCCAAGCTTTTCACCATAGCTCCCTTTTCCTGCGAGGGCTTCACCCTCGCCCTTTCCTCACCGAGACTCCCGCCGTGCCATTTCTACCTCGTCAACCTGAAACAAAAAAAAAGAGCGCGATCGTTATGTCATGCTTGACGATTGTCAAGTTGGGTAGGGCGAGCGACAAAGGGAGTCGTTTCGTTGACTGCTCCCGGAGAATGAGTTCACCTTGGCGGAGAAACGCGACACGCGCAATTATCGCGCGAAAATGTCATTCTGAATGCTACATTGAAACATGGGACTGATGTTGCGTGTATTTAAAAACCATAACTCGCGGCTATCGCGCGCAAGAGAGACATTGTCATTGCAAAGATACCTGTATTCTGTATTAAGAGAAATTTATATTATTTCACCCTACAACTATATGAGTATTTTACTTACAACCTGCAATTTTACCTACAACCTACAATTTACCCTACGACAATTATATACATGTTACAACATTATATAATTGTTATGATATTATCATGATTTAATTATTTAAATTATCATGAATATTGAGTTTCGTAACAGTTGAATATCGGATTCATCTAGCCTATAATTTCTCAATTTAAGAGAACTTTACAGTATCAAAATTCCGCAGAGAACAATGCACAGATGACATCATGTCTTTCATGCGATCTGCCTATAATCCTCGTTCAGTTTTCCGTCGATTATGCGCCGCACGTGGAACCGTTTCCTTCCTGTACGTACCGAGGGCGGGGCTAAACTTCCTATACGACTTCCATGTCATGTAGTTTCCAGGAAGAAATGCACGAGAATTGCGACGCGCGTCAGTTTTGCATAAAGATGTCTTGTAGACGTCGGTAATTTTTAACCTGATCCCCCGATCCGTGTACCAATATGCTCGTGAGCATATTTCGCAGAAATGCCGAGATCGAGCTCGGCGAGCAGAACGGAGGAACGTTCCGTGAGTGGCGCGATAACAGCTCGTTATTGGCTTACGAGCCTATCGGCCCGATAATGCGTTACTCCCATTTTGCGCAAGCTCCGGTACACGTCAAACATGTGCGCGAGAGCGTAACACTCGCGGCTCTCTCTCGATACCCCCGTAGTGAGATAGGTGTCTCGAGTTTGATGGAGTATCCGTTGGTATAATTGCGCCGACGGTGAATAAGTAATGCGCGAGTACGGCAGTAAGAAGTCATTCGGTCGTAGGCCTCACGTGCTCCGCATTAAACATACATATCGCAGCTTATAGCCGCGACGCGACGGTGCAAAATCTGTTCTACGACGCGCGTCTCGCTGACCGCTGTCATTTCTCTCCCTCCCTTTTTCTCTCCTCCCATTTCCCCCCCCCCTCTCTCTCTCATCGTAAAACCGGTAAGATCATCGTTCCTCTTGCAAAGTCCTAGCTGCGTGATACTACTCATTGTAGATTTTATTTGACTCCAGAGCGGCATATGTTATGCTTGCAGCTTCCAAGCATGTATCAATGATGATTATATCAATGAGTTTATTTTCTGTAATCGAGCAATGGAATATTTATGAGGTATAAACAAGTCGCGTTCGAATATTTTTCGCGCGCGGGAATAAATCCTTCCCCATTACGAAAAGGATAATAAAATTATGCGATTTTGCACTTTACACGAGTAAACAACCTTTCTTCTTTGTTATTTCACGCATGAAAATGTATATCTGAGATTAATATACGGAATGACGAGAATTACTGGAGATGAAGTAATGGTGAATGTATTTTTCTGAAGTAATTGACTGTAAGAAACTGTGGTAATCGAAGAATTAAGTAAAGCGCGTTTCTCACAACGGACATAATTATTGCGGCGACGTTTAATTAAGCGTAACGGTACACAATAAGACTCGTTGATTAGCGAGACGCCACGACGAAACGTTCCGTCTCTCGCGTAAACATTTAATCACCCTAAGCACTAAGTGTTAAATTAGAAATTATCGGAAAACGGTATCGTTTATACGTCGAGTCGCCATAAAAGCTTTATCTCCTGATTGTATTCATGAGAGACTTAACGCTCGCGTTGCGCGATGCGCGCGCTCCGTCCGAAATCAATTCCCCGGACGTCGGTAAGCACTCCGGCGGTGGCCACAAAATTATTCATCGATTGTTTTCTTTTCATCTCCCGCGGACTGCGAAGGGGAACAGATTATCGCGCGCGATCGTTTCAGGCAGGTGCCATTTTCTCGTCGTCGCCGTCCTTTTGGATGGCCGGCCAGCGTTGTCGTCTACCACCACCGGGAAAACGGAGATTTCGCAATTATTATGCCGTCGACGCGACGAAGGAGATTCCGTTTACGATCGGTATCGTTTACGATACACACACACACACACACATACATGCGTGCGCGTATGTATCCATCTATATATATTTATGCGTTCACACCGCGGCTTGTGCACGCGGAACGGCATGCGCCCGCACGCGTGTTCACGTACCTATAGGAGTTCGTTTAAGCCGCGACGTAAGCCGCGGAGGCTTTCGCGTGATATCCTAGTTCAACGTCGAATCTCTTCGTTTGCATAGGAATGAGTTTATGCAGATTAATACACGCGAGACGTCCATGTAGGGTACGGCCACGTGGGATGTAGCCGCGGCACCTACACCGAAGCCGCGAGTGTGTATGTACATGCATATTTTATTGGCGGCATCGGGGCGCTTACCGATTTCCGATCGCGCAAACGCGCGCCACACACGACGCGGCGATTCGCCATTCCGCGCGAGTTCCCCCTCGTACTTACCTCGTTTCGATTTAATCGACGTTACTCAATATCGATATCATTTAATTTATTTCTAATGCCGGTAGAAACGCCAGACGCTGTGTGACGGGGGGTTGTCTCGTATCGCTGAACGATTATTAATTTCATTTCCAATACGCAGCTTCGAGAGGTCTCTCCTAAATGTTTGACAGTTTCGATCTATAATTAATTCGGTATTATTTATGAACCAGTTGCGAGACACAAATTTTTATCAAAACGGCGACATAATTTACTACGTATCGAATAGCATGTTATTTAATTGCCGCGTAGCCAAATTTAGGACGCTTTACTATTAAATAGCTGGAGTTTTACGAGATACCCGTTGCCTTTTTCCTGTTGGGATCGCTCTCTCTGAAAGATATCGCTCCCGACAAAACGTCGAGTTGACCCTAATTGCGCGGAAGCCAAGGAGAAACGTTGTCGGCGACATTGGAGGCGAAGTCCCCCGTACAAAACGAAGCCAATGAATTTAGTAATCCGCTCTGTCGTCGGCAGAGTCGTTGTCCAGGACGAGGTCGGGATAGCAGAGGTACGAGGTACAAGCGGAGCGGGATGTCTCTCGGTAGAAAAGCGATCCTTATCAGTCGTAAAAACACCGTATGCACCGACTCTCGCAGAGAAATACGAGCTAGCCGCGAACGTAACCACGTCCGACGAATGGAACGTTAATGTCAGTTAATTATCTGTTAAGTCCTCGGGAGAGAGGGCAGATTCGTTTTCGAGCGCGGCCGTTTGGAAGGCGTGGGCGAGCCGAACACGCTTTTGTGGAAACACATATAGAAACGACGTGCGTCTCCCCTTGATCTCGTCGTCGTCGAAAAAATGCCGCCTGTTTACGGATTCCGGGAGAATCTGTTAACTCGTCGTCGAGCCAGATGAATCGAAAGATTATAACGAAGCGATCCTGCTAGGCGACTCTGCCAGCCGACTCGGCCGAAAATATCAAATTTTTTTCCGCAATCTTTTTTCTTCGTTAATGGTACACGTCGGTGGTATTAATAACGATGAATTTATTAATCGATACCCTGAGAAAAATATATTTAGATCCAAAAAAATATTTATTTAGATTGCTGCCAAGAGCTTATTTACTTTATATAATACACATATTTATTTAGAATTAAATATTTTTATTTAAATTAAGTAAAAATATCTAATTCTAAATAAATATATGTATTATAAGTAAATAAGCTCTTAACAACAATCTAAATAAATACTTTTTTTTATCTAAATATTTTTTTCTCAGTGCAGAATTGTCTCGATATACTTACAGATTTAATTCGTATATTTGAAATTTGCTTGCTTTAATTTTGATACAATTTAATATTTTGTACATATTTCTTACACGCGATTTAATTATAGAATTTATTTACCCGCAAGATCCCGCGTGAACGTTCGTCGAACGATTTTTATTCCGAGACAGCTACCGGATGTGAAAATTGTAAATCCAAGAAGATAGCGTGTTACGCGGGGAGCAGCGTAGAATACGAGCGAATTTACGGATTGATCTCAGCCATGATCCTCGTGTCGCGTTCGAAAGCACGCTTCGATGACTCAGATCCATTCTAGTTAGGATCTCGCGTAGCTCGACGAGTGGAAGCAACAGAGTCTGTACGCAAATATAAGTGCCGTGCGCTTTATACTTTCACAGATACCTTTACTGCGTTACACCATCAAATTTTATCTTTTTTACAGATTTGACTTCAACGCGATTTTCGCAGACAAAAATTTATGCATTATCGTTCTTTTACACACCGATATATACTTTTCTTATTTAGTTGACTATAGAAGACGCGAGATTATAAATTTCTCATGCGGGATATTTAATTCGTCTCCATTCTTCCATTTTGCTGAATTCAGTTACTCATTGAGAGAAACTGAAATACAAGAAACCTTTCCGAGTGTTTACCGTTCACCCTATCGACAGATAAGACAACCCGGATAAGATAACCCGGAATTATAAAGGGCTTTACTCGAGGATCGTCTATCACGCGACGTTCGGATTTATGGCCGCTGTATGTAGCGGCCAGTCGACTTTCCATTTATCCAGAATGCGGTACCTGTAGCATTTCGGGCGCGCGGATGGCCGTGCGAAACAACCGCAAACTTCGATCTCCCGCGAACAAATGGACGGAGTCTCGCGGAAAGAAACGGAAAAATCACAATGGAAGGCAGCAGTCGGATGCTCCGGCATTCCCTCCCTATTGTCCGTCGACTCGTGAAAAATGCACGCTGATTTTCCGTAACAATGCTGACGAAAGGAGGATTTTACTGATCGCGCCCGACTAAAGAGACCGTAAGATATTCCGGCTACGTTCGAGATATGATATCC